TTCTTCTGTCAGTATTGAGGTTGGTGAGGACCCTCAGGTTCGCTCAGCTGCCACTCTGGTGAAGAACATCTCATACAAATACAGAGAGGAGCTGTCAGCACATCTGATTGTTGCCGGCTGGGACAGAAGAAATGGAGGGCAGGTCAGTAATCACATGTTGGTGGTTACAGTTTGAAAGGAACAAATAGAGCCTTTAAAACACAGGTGTCAAACTCCAGTCCTCCAGGGGCGCTGTCCTGAAACTTTTCCATTTTTCCCTGCTGCAACACACCTGAATAAAGTTAGTAAAAATTAGTAATTTGACTGCATGCTGAGGTGGCAATCCAGCCATTTGATTCATGTCACAGCAGCTCATAAGTGAATGAACATCGTGCAATAAAAGTACTTTTAGAAGTACATTTTTCCAAACACTTTACTTCACTTTAAATTACTTGAGTAGGGTTAGGAGTTGCCACCTCAGCATGCACTCAAGTTCTATAGAGTCTCTAATGACCTACTAATTTTATTCAGATGTATTTGCAGCAGGGAGACAGGTACAAGTTTCAGGACACCGGCTCTCGAGGACTGGAGTTCGACACCCCTGCTTTAAAAGATCACTGGGAAAAGTTTCATTAATACATTTATGGTTCAGCAACATCTGCTACTTGTTGTTAGGTGCTTTCATGAGCCAACACACTTGATGTTATTAGTTATCATCCATAAACAATGACATTGCTTGGTGATATAATCCCTCCTTTCCTGTGCCCTTTGACCTCCAGGTGTTTGCAACTATGAAAGGGCTCCTGACACGTCAACCGTTTGCAGTCGGCGGCTCCGGCAGCTCGTATGTTTACGGGTTTGTTGATGCTGAGTATCGCAGAGGCATGAACAAGCAGGAGTGCCAGCAGTTTGTTGTCAACAGTAAGATTTTTTCTTTTGTTTTTTTCTACAGGGCTTCTGATGATTTGATGCTCAGGGGAAACCGGACAGTTGATGTTTCTTATACTGACAGCTCACAACTCCTACTCTATTATGTCATGTTACAGCTCATAAATATGTTAATAACTTGTGTTGTAAAAATAATATTGTGTTGTTCATTTCCCTTTCTCGTAGCTCTCTCTCTGGCAATGAACCGTGATGGCTCCAGCGGCGGCGTGGCTTACATCGTCACCATCGATGAACACGGCACAGAGGAGAAAGTGATTCTAGGAAATCAGTTACCCACCTTCTTTGACCAATAACACATTAGTTGTCTTAACAGAAGCTGTGGCTCACAGTTTTGGCACAACTGTCAATTAACTCACCCTGTGATGAAACCATTAAGGAGCGGTATACCTTTAATAATAAGTTGCTGCATATCTCACTAATATCCAAAGGTATTTCAAGTTTATATCAACAAACCTTTATGTTAATAAAACCCTGTCTTTACAGTTGATTACATTTTTGTTTCATCAAATGAAATAAAATTGAAAAATAAGTTTTGCTTTACATGATGTTTGATTTCTCTGCAAAAGACAATTACATTACATATTGTTACTCTTCATCATTAAGGGCAACCTTAGCCTCTTAAACTTGCTGAAGACTCATTATTTGAATCTTTTAAACAATAAATGGGTAATATTTGGAAAATATTCAGAGCCCCTGATATTCCATAGCTCTACAGGGTTAACACAAGACTTGGTTCAAACCTGAGTGGGAATTTTGTCATGAATGCATCTGGTGTAAAAATCTGTGCCAAATCAAATATGTGAATCTATCTGCATGTGTTGACCACTTGTAAATAAGGGAGTGGCTGAAACCCCGGATGTTCCTTAAGCCTCATTATAATTAATAACAGAGAAATTACCATCTTTAATGAAAGGCCTCTGGTCCGAGAAACAATTCTCCAAAAACAAATCACAGATTTTCTTCACTCAACAGTAACAATCTTTAAAGGCTGTTTTATGTTCTACAGAACATAAACTGTAACATTCAATCATATTAACATTTGTAACATTCAGTGTCTCATACACTGAATGTTACAGTTGCAGGTTCAATCCAGGACAACGTCGGTTGTTAGTTTGGATGTGCAGTAATGAAAAGAACTAGATATAAGGGATATTAAGAAGCAGTCCTGCAGTCCTGCTTCAGTTGGTGTTGCTTTCTGCATTTTGGATTTAAGGGAAACCCCTCATCCTGTGAGAAAATGAAACTGAAAGTATATAAACCTAAAACTCTGGTCCTGCGACGCAGCAGGTCATTTGAGGACGACTACTGCCGAATTATGGCAGCGATCACAGCTACAACAATGCGCCAAGTCGCTGCTTTTACTTTATCAGTTTCTGTCGAGCTTTTGTTGTTTTATGCGTCAGGATTTTCGGTGTTTCACAGCGTCTTTGGACACTTTACGCGTCTCTGGCTCTGTGCGGCTCTCCGCTGGTTGGCACTTATCGGTGTCTCACTGCTCACACTCGGGGTTCCCAAAGCTCTGCTGATTCGGTTTATAACGGCTCATAGTCTGCTGCCCGCGGTTTTCGAGACCGGGACCAACGCGTTTTACAGAGAGGAGAGCGAGTGCGGCCAGCTGGGAGATGTGCGCTGCTGGCTCATGTTCAGCGGAGCTTCGCTCGCTGCTGCGCTGTTTTGGGAGATCACCATCCCGGACACCGACGAAGAGGCTGCCGGCAAAGAGCAGAAACAGAAGGCGAGAGTGCTTTTCATGAGAGTCGTCCGACTGTTCAGACCCGACTATCCTCTGCTGTTAGGGGGACTTGTGTTCCTGTCGCTGGCTAGTATCTGTAAGTAAAAGGTGGTACTGAGCCGATTATGCTGCAGGCTGATTATGAATACCGAATACATAGTTTGCTCAACAAAGGAAACATTAAGGCCCTTAAGTTGAGTTTTTAGAATTCACAAGAAACATATTCATGATGACGATAATATGAATTATAACTGTTCAATGTTTCCTGACTGGTGAATGTGATAATATCACCTGTGTGGATCTCTTCTCAGGTGAGATGTTCATCCCTTTCTACACTGGAAGAGTCATTGACATCCTTGGAAGTAATTACCAGGAGAATGACTTCCTGTCTGCTCTCCTCTTCATGGGCCTTTACTCTCTGGGAAGGTATGAGGCAGACAGTGTTTTTCCTCCACAATTACCCTCTGTTTGTTCTTTACAAGTAACATCTAACTAATTTTCTCTTGGATTGATTAGTTCTGTCAGTGCCGGCTGTAGAGGAGGTCTCTTAATTTGTGCCATCAGCTCCTTCACATGCAGAATCAAAGTTTTACTGTTTGGGGCATTGACTAAACAGGAAATTGGATTCTTTGGGACCACAAAAACAGGTACTGCTATCACAAACAGAACTTTGTTTATTGAGACACAATAATTAAAAGGTAATAGCACAGAAGTACAGCACTGATGAAAATAACCTTTCTTTGCAGGTGAAATCACATCCAGACTGTCTAAAGACACCACCCTGATGGGAGAGACTGTGTGTCTGAATGTTAACATGCTGCTGAGGACATTCATCAAGACAATGGGCATGATCTATCTAATGATGAACCTCTCATGGAAGCTCACATTCCTGGTGCTGATGGAGACTCCTATCACCGGCCTCATACAGAACATCTATGACACACACTACCAGGTAAAAGCTGATTAACAAGAGATGATAAATGAACATGAGATTTACACTATATGGACAAAAATACTAGGTCGATGACACATTACACCTACAAGAGCTGCTTGGTCATGGAAACCTGTGCCTTGAAATTCCTGTGCACAGTGCATAGTTTTTGTGATAGATGTTTGGAGCTCTACAGTTGTTGAGTCAGCAGAGTGCTTTGCAACTTGGCTGAGTTGCTTTCTTTCACAAACATTCTTAAAGGTAGACTGCATGACTAGGACCTTGATTTTATAAACCTGTGGATTTTATAAACACATAAATGCAAAAATTAGCAGGTGTCATCCAATACTTTTGTCCATATCCTGCTGAGAACCAAGGAAAAAAAAGAATCTTACCCATGAACTTTTTTTGTGATTTCCTGGCAGGAAAACACATGAAATATCAATGGAAAGCCCTCTATTTAGTACATCAGGACTTAGTAGGGTTGCTCAAATAAGTCAAAAGATATAGACCAAAACAAATATCCATTACAGAAGACAGAAATGAATAGGCTGGTTCTAGTGTGTGTATGATATTTGAAAGAAATTGTTTCAACTCACCAAGTAATCTAAACTTGAAAGCAATCATCTAATTGCTTCAGGATTAAATGAAAATATAAATGTGTCTAGGTGTAATAAGGAATAAACTTACAATAATTATTTTGTTTGGTTGCTTTTGGTGCAAAACAAAATTAATATTACTGTTGTGAGGTGAGATATTTATTTTTACAATAACTAAGTTTCCTTTTTTTATACTTTCCTCAGAAGTTGTCCCTGGCAATACAGGACTCAATGGGTCAATCAACTGAAGCTGCACATGAGGTAGTGTCTGGTATTCGTGTGCTAAGAAGCTTTAACACAGAAAAACATGAAGCCCACCGCTACTACAACTGCTTGATGGAGACACACAACCTCAAGACTAAACGTGCCACTATCAGTGCTGTTTACCTGCTTGCACGGAGGGTGAGAAGTTTGCTTTTTTATTTGGTGTTTGTTTATTTGTGTGTCACTTAGAGATCATATCAGTGGATAATGAGCCACTTATTGCATATCACCATATTTAACACTGTGTGTGTGTCTACAGCTGACAGGGTTGGCTATGCAGGTCTTTGTGTTATACTACGGCCGACTTTTTATCCAGAGGGGACAGATGACCACAGGAAAACTGGTTTCCTTTATCCTCTACCAGTCAAACTTGGGAGACAACATCAGGGTATCCCACAATGCTTTGTGTACTGTTATTAGTTAGCATTTGTGATCACAAGTGTAAAAACAAGGAGCCATTAAATTAATATTTCTGTAGCTAGGCAAGAAAACAATATACACTATATTCAATTCAAGAGGGAAAAAAGTCACAAAAACATAGTCCTATATACAATATTCAATATCGAAGGTTAATAGAAAAAAATCTAAAGTTTTGAGTTTGCTTTCAAAACAACCTCAAAGCATTGAAAAGCTATTCTTTAATTTTCTGTGATGCAACTGTGGCTCAAGTAGTACATCACACATGACAAAGTGGTTCAGTGATTTGGGCAAGACACGGAGCCCCAAGTTCATTATTGGCAGGTCAGCTCTAAAGCTCATCTATTACTTTGCTAAAAAAGATAAAAAGCACTGCATATAAACAGACTACACACTAAATACTATTGTTGGAACATGAGACCAAACTCCAGCCTCACAATACTTTCACGTGATCTTCAGGACAGAAGAACAGTGTCAGATGACCTAATACATCTTGTTGATACAGAGCTTTTAAACTCAAGAGCAAAAAGATATCTCATCAGTCTTGCACTATTTTTAAATATACCATTGTTGGAAAAGGTTTTGTATTTAACATAATGCAGGCTGCATGCAATTTAAAAACACATGTTATTATGTTTCCCAATTTTGTCCCATAACTGTAACCTTCCAGACGCTCACCTACATCTTTGGTGAGATGCTGAACTCAGTGGGGGCTGCTGGGAAAGTGTTTGAGTACCTGGACCGAAAGGCTCTGGTCAGTACAGACGGAAAACTCCAACCTGATCAGCTGAGAGGACACATCAGCTTCAGGAGTCTCAACTTCACCTATCCTGCAAACCCCAACAAAACAGTGCTGCAGGTGGGAATGCAGAGTCAATGAGTAGGTGGGTGTGGGGTTATGCTATCAATTTATTCTGTTACTATAGCCATTGTTGTCTTTTCTAAATCACTTGTTTCAGGACTTTTCCTTGGAGCTGAAGCCTGGTCAGATGACAGCATTGGTGGGTCCATCTGGAGAAGGAAAAAGTACCTGTGTGAATCTGCTGGAGCGTTTCTACGAGCCTCAGGATGGAGAAATCCTGCTGGATGGAGAACCACTAAAATCCTATGATCACCAGTTCCTCCACAAGATGGTAATTCATCATCAGAGCTTTTTCCTTACTGTATTAACTTATTGTTTTATCAGTGAGGTGTTTTATGTACTTGTGTTTTATTGTATTTTATATTTGTACAGCACTTTGTTCAGCCTTGGTTGTTTTTAAATGTGCTTTATAAATAAACTTGACTTGACTTCCTCATTAATTATGCCATTTTTTCCTTGGGAGCTTCTGTCTCCTGTTTATAAATAACAGAATGAAAAGCCACAGTCATTTCTGAGATTTGTTAAATTGTTATATTGTATGGGATTGTGAAGAAGATTCTATAAAGGTGTATACCATCTTATGTGTGTTTAACAGATCTCTGTGGTAAACCAGGAGCCAGTGCTCTTCTCTGGCACCATCAGAGAAAACATTGAATACGGGCTTAAAGGCTGCTCACTGGATGAAATCAAGGACGCAGCAAAAGAATCCAATGCCCATGACTTCATCAAGCAGTT